GAAGGGTCAACTACAACAACTAGTTGCCCAAGAGTCAAAGAAAGTGAAATCCGTACCTTAGATGGAATAGAGAAATAAACACGATCAAACAGGATTCACGGTAAAGTTCGACTTGCTCGCGTGCCTAACGAATGCGCAAATCGGTTATTACTTAAATAACGTAAGATCATATCCTAATTATACTAATAAATTACTTAGGTCCTATATGTCTATAAACAACTTAAACTTCAAATACGACAGCCGAATATGTATTACGAAATCGACGCAACACTTAGCTTTATATAATTCCGATTCGACTTTAACAGCTTTTGACCCTCATTTTCGGGAGCATTTTTACCCTACTTAGAGACCAATACAAAAGATACTATCTAAATGAAAGATGTAGTATGATATGCGATGAAACTACTGATTTTCAAATCACCTCATTTGGATTATCCATCTATTTTATACGAATTTTTACAAAACAGCAGATCAATCCTAAATACATTGCAAACAGCCCCGAAAACACACTGTTTCAAGCCACTTAAACTCATAACTGGATTTTCGACCCTACATGAAAGTTGTAGTATACATTAAGGGATTTCTAATTGCAAAATATGAGCTTATTCTGACTTACGGTTTGTAAGTTATACACTGTCAAAGTATGAACCTGCATAGTCGGTAAAATCCGATTCCGCAATTCCCGACTAACTTTTATAATCCAACTTTCATGATTCGCTACATTTACATGCTATAAACATACTTCAACATACTAAACCGTAAAACAAGTCCAATGGTCGCTAACCTAAGCTTAATCATGCAATTTTACTCTTTTCGACATTATATCGAACAATTGGTGTGCCGTTAAACGTTTACATCAAATCTAACCATAATGAAACCGTAATCTACCCTCTTTATTTCTACATCAATTTAACCAATTCTAGCATTCTAAACATGAAATATATCATACTTTTAACAGTATCAAACCGTAAACTTAGACATAACATAGTTTATAAACCGGTCTAAAAAAATGCTAACGTAAACATCCTAATAAAAATGAATGAAATTTATACCTTTATGAAGGGTTCGAAGAGTGGATTCTGAATATTAATCGTTACCTCGATTGCTTCAACGATTTGAGAAATATCTTAGAGAGAAGAAAAAGTTTAGAGAGAGAGATGAGAGATGAGGCGGTGATGAAGATGAAGAAGGATGAAGAAGAGGCCGATGTTTTTTTTTTCTTTTCTTTATATATATATATATATATATATATATATAATTATATATTATATAATTATTAAGAGTTTATAAGTTTGGCGGTTTTAACCCCTTTAATAATTATCGACTGTTATTTAAGTACGGTACAATTCGAGTAAGTTAACGATAATGTTTTTAAAACTCGAGTCTTATAATTCTCCCCCCTTAAAAGGAGATTTCGTCCCCGAAATCGAATTTAGAGATAGGGAACTTACATCAGTTTAAGAATTCTGGGTACTCCCGCCACATATGTTCTTCAGTTTCCCACGTCGCCTCACGTTCCGAGTGATTCTTCCAAAGAACTTTTACAAAAGAAATCACTCTCTTTCGTGTACCTCTCTCATCGCGATCAAAAATTGCCTCAGGCTCCTTACGATAAGATAGATCAGGATCTATATGGTCCAAAGGATATTCAATGACGTCTAGGGGATTATAGTTGTATCCTAGCAACGAAGAGACATGGAACACATTATGTACGTGGGACAATTGTGGCGGTAGAGCTAACCTGTAGGCCACAGCTCCAACCTTTCCCAGAATTTCAAAAGGACCAATATATCTCGGGCTGAGCTTCCCTTTGAGACCGAAACGTCTAATACCACGAGTTGGTGACACTTTCAAGAAGACTTTATCACTCGATTGGAACTCGATAGGTCGTCGTCGCTTGTCGGCGTATCTCTTTTGACGAGCCTGAGCCTCTTTCATCATTTGACGTGCAATTTCGACCTTCTCAGTAGTAACTTGTACTAATTCTGGGCCTTCTAAAACACGTTCTCTAACTTCATTCCAACAAGTCRGTGTTCGACATTTTCGGCCATAAAGTGCTTCATACGGGGCCATGCCGATACTCGACTGCCAGCTATTATTATGGGAGAACTCGATTAGATACAAGTAGTTATCCCAACTTCCATGCCATTCCAACGCACATGCTCGGAGCATATCCTCCAATGTTTGAATTGTACGTTCAGATTGCCCATCAGTTTGTGGATGAAAGGCTGTACTAAAATTCAAACGTGTGCCCCAAGCTTTATGTAGACCTTCCCAAAATCGAGATGTAAAACGTGGGTCTCGATTGGAGGTAATCGATACAGGTGTGCCATGAAGACGCACAATCTCACATTGGAAAACTTCGATCAGCTTATCAATTGACCAAGTTTGTCGGACAGGAAGAAAATGAGCCGATTTTGTCAGTCGGTCTACCACTGCCCAGATTGCATCGTGTTTCAAGATCGTACAGGGTAATCCGACTACAAAATCCATAGTTATGTGCTCCCATTTCCGTACTGGAATGTTCAACGATTGGAGAACACCACCCGAACGTTGATGTTTAATTTTAACTTGTTGACAAGTGAGACAACGAGCTACAAAGTCGGCGATATCTCGCTTCATTCCAATCCACCRGAAATGGTTCCTTAAATCACGATACATTTTTGTTGTGCCAGGATGAACCGAAAACATAGAGTTATGAGCTGCGGTCAGAATTAGATCTCTAAGCTCCGAGTTATGCGGAACACAAAGACGATCCCGAAACCACAACACGTGATCATCATCAATTCTGAACTCTGAACTAGAATTCTCTTGTGCCTGTTGGAAATTTGCCCATAATTCACTATCATTTTGCTGGGCTTCTTTGATCCGAGAGATTAGAGTTGATTCTACCATTAAATTCGATAGAATTTCCGTTTGCGAACTCGGATAGATTTATAGTCTGAATCGTTTGATTTCCAAAGCCAACTCTGTAGAAACAATTAAAGAAGAAACTTGTTCCACAGCTTTACGGCTTAAAGCGTCAGCAACTACATTAGCTTTGCCCGGATGATACTGTATCTGAACCTCGTAATCTTTCAGAAGTTCAAGCCACCTTCGTTGACGCATATTTAACTCTTTTTGAGTAAAGATGTATTTGAGGCTTTTATGGTCAGTGAAAACTTCACAGGTCTCA